GTGGTTGAATCGGAAAGTTGTCGATCAGTAGGTGCTCCAAGTGCTGAGGGAGTGACAAGAAAAGATAGGAGGACGAATGAATAAACAAGAACAACATCGAGTCTGCCGGAGTGTCATTGTCGGAGTGAAGAAGCTGAAGTGGCAATAGTCAGGACGCGTTACAAGGAAATTCGACCATTTCGTTGAACGATAAACAAACAAGATGCAGCTCAGGTGGTTATAATTGGTGCAAATATATGAAAGGAGGCTTCTGCCAATGCTCAGGCCCTGGCTCAAGATCGAGAACGATTGTCTCGGTGACCCGCAAGGAGAAGCGGTCACGGGAGATGATTAGGTGATTAGCTCTCGAAGGTCCCTAAACCCGTCATTGGCGAATTTCTAGGCAGCAGATACCACACAGATGACAACGTCATCGGCATGCTCGACCGGTCAGTTTCAACATCGTTGTGTGCAAGCCATGTTTTATGAACCTCGTCATAACAAACCAACAATCATTAAAGTCCCTTTCGCAAACCCCGCAAAAACCGTCTCTCACTGCGCAAACCGGTCGTGCCACATGGCCATCTAACCGCGAAACAAGTTTCCCACAAATCTGCCTGGCGCCGCAGCACGTTACTAGGCCTATAGTTTTTGCGGCGATTTTTACTCATCCGAGAGATGCTCACTTTCTAAAAGGCGTGACATTTGCAGAATACGCGAAAAGGAGTTCGTGGAATGCCGGTGATTATACTGATTTCACGAAATTACTCACGCTGACCTTCGTCTGATTGCGCGCATAAGTTATGCCTTGGCATTTCAGGCGTAAAGAGATCAAAGGACAACTACCCAATCGCCTTGTGCAAGCAACTGACTGCATCCATGAATATGCTTGGAAGGTAAGAGACCAGATGCACGTATTTCGTTAATAATTACTCAGCTCATCAAGACATCATCCGATCCAGTTTATATTACTCACAGTAATTACAGTTTTGATTTATATGTTCGTTTACTTTGCTCTTCTTTCCACTTTCATTTGCATAAAGTTAACAACTCTGATTATTACGCTTGGCCTGTACCTTTACGGCGTGCAACACCGAACCTCAGCGCTCATATATGACAAATTTATTACAAATGCCACAATTATTCAACAAATAGTTACCACTTATGCTAAGCATGACAAGGAGCCTAGCACCCACTGACGCATTATACCGTACTCCTGATGAACATGAGCGTCAAACAATCATTCATCGGCAAATTTCGATACCGCAGCTTTAATAGGGTAGTGCGACACACTTGCGCGATAGGCAGAGACCTTTATAGGCATAATCGAACCTCAGGAAATATTGTCCGTGCATTCCTTTGCAAGTCCATTTCTCATGTCAATATCATCTTTGTAAGAATGTTTATCGTTCGTAGTCGCATTTATCCTTTCGAGGTTTCACTCGTTCCGCAGCGAAAGAAACTGCTTGTGTCAAAGGGCCGAAAGTCTCCCAGCACACATTGGGTTTCATGATGCCACATGTGACTGAAGCTGACACTTTTCTTGACGTGCGTCTACTGATACTTCGTAAAACGCAATGTAAAGGTCAGCGTCAACATGACTATGACTTTGTACAAGACTTGTTGTCCATAACGGCAACCCAAAGCTAAGAACCGAATAAAACGAACAAGTAAGCCTTCAAACCTCAGAATACATTACTGAGTTAATCGGGCAGTTTCTGCAGTTAAAAATTTTAAAAAATTCATATTCATTCCGAGGTGACAAAACAACGGTATCTCATTCATTTTTTTATTCGATAACCGAATAATTGTTTCAGAGAAAGGCTCTTGGGGACGAAAAAACATGACAAACGTCACTGAAAAAATATGCCTTTATTGAATGTTTCTTCTTACACCGTGTCAGTAATTGCATCGTCACCAGAGAGCCATTCTTCGTGAATTCAACTAATTAAAACCTTTACTCATCTTTCCAGTTTTCCATCAGTAGAGCTATATCATCGTATGGACACAGCTCACAACGAATTTCAGTTTCCTCGTTACTCGAGATTCGTCGATTTCGAAACAGTTTTCGGCCCAGTCTACAACCCGATCTGTACTTCATTCCTTGATGAGTCAAAGAATCGAAAAAAGAAATACAGCGACCTCATCGTCATGATTTACAAGTATGCAACAGCTGGTGTGAATGTTCATGAAAGAACAAGTAAGGTCAAAATCGTAAACGGCGCCTGACTGAGGAATGTTCATGAAACTGATTTTTTGCCTGAAACGGAAAGTTTTCCATCGGTATGTGCTCTTTGTGCTAACCCATCTATGAGAAACGTCGACCCTTATCCTGAAAGCTATTCATAAACTGCAGATTACGCAGCGCAGCAATGAAACATGTATGTTACAAGTAACACAAAAACATAGGAAGACGAATGAATATGTGAGAGCTCAAACAGGTGTATGCGATGTCATAGCACGAGTGAAGAAGTTACAGTGGCAATCGGTAGGCCACACTGCAAGAAGAACCGACCATCGCTGACCAGACAGATAGTAGAATGGATTCGAAGAGAGGGTATGACTGGTAAGAAGAACTCCAGTTCTATATTAGGATAAGTTGAGAAAGTTCGTTCGATCAAAACAGATAAGTTTTTAAGAGTGAATCAAAAGAAGCTGATTATAGATATGGATAGAGAGTGAAAGTGTATTTGGTTTGGGTCGATTTGTATCATTATCTTCTTCACATGTTATAGGTTCTTCTTGCAATGTGTGACATAACCTTTTGTGTCAAAAAATAATGGCCATTGCTTCTGGAAAGCAATATGACTGATTGACTGATTGATCGATCGATTGGCAATTAAAGGAAACAGAATTATAGCACATCTAAAAAAATTTTGTGACGAAAATCACGTGACCAGGTGTTGCAGAATTTCATCAGAGGTATCAAGCTTGAAGGAATGTCGATAATAGACAAGTGACAAGCAGACCGTACAATGTCCGTCTCGAAGGTGAACGTAAAAACCGCAACAGCTGCTAGACATACGCCAGTCTGGCATTCAACTAGATGAAGGGCAGCACGATGACCGCAGCTAAAAAATAGTCTTCGACATTAATCATGCTGGAGAAATTTGAGCTGAGGCAAGTCCCCCTGCGTTTCTCATACAGTAAACTTTTTCTGAGGGAAATGGCAATGTCAAGATCCTTGATAATCAGACTATATGCACAGCAAGAGACAAGACCAATCAGATTAGAGCAAAATGGTTTAGCACAATGATCCTGTGCATACCGATGTTTTCGTGTTTCTCACGTATCTTCTTCAGGGAGTATGTTGATTTATCAGTCCTTTCTGGGTACTTCACTGGCGGTAGTTCAGTTACGAGTTACATCCAAAAGGCTATAAGCCAACAGACTGAAGCTTCGGTGTCCGAGGTATCTTAGCTCATGTCAAAAGCTGTTTGTTTGTTTGGTACATTACAACAAACTTACCATAGTATTAATTGCCAAATAGTACTTTGCAGTCAGTACAGAAAGAGAGGGAGACCCATTTCGCTATTTTTTCTCACAAATCCGGAATGCAAGCATAAGAGACAGCCACCTACTTGTCGGTTGTAATATCATTCGAAGAAGTAGCCCCTATCCGAAATCTCACCAAGTGCATCAAGCCAGAGAGAGGAGCTCAAAAGCAAGAAAAGACGTCATTGCAAAAACCGAAGCTGGCGTTAATGGTTGCTAAACAAATGCAATTTCGATTACATATTCGCACATGCTTGGTAGCTACACGAAAACCGACATCTAATCAAGTCTGATCAGTACTTAATTAGACCAAGACTAATGTAGTTAACGGGATTAATTAAGGTCATGGGGAGATGAGAGTTCACCGCATCGTACTGACCAAATTTGGAGATCGTCGCACATTAGATTGGGAAGATGCGGGTCAAATGTTAGAGAATTACATGAACACAAGCGTGAACTACATACGCGTGCAATGGAAGCGCCTGAGGGTTCGCATATGAATACTATGCAATTACTCAAAATATTTAGAATGCCGCCTTCCTGAGAGAAATTCTATGCTCGCCATGGCGGTGGGTAAAACAGACAGCAGCAGTCAAGGGAGATGTAATCCCTCGGAGCTAGGAAGATTTCGGTTTAAGGATATTAAACTGAGACTTCAAACAGTTGATTTTCGGACCTTCAGCTGGCGTGGGAAACGCAGAAACAAATCAGGGAAGGACAAATCTGAATTCTTGTTTGGACAACGCCATGCATTAGATTTACATTAGTACAAACTGTGGCTCATAATCTTTAAAAGGCATAAGGCATAGAGCATCGTCAGCTGGCCGATGCCACCGTCTCGTAGCTAACCGTTTCAGAGATCACGACAGATCTTTACAGGTATCGTAATGGCTAAGAAGTAATACACGTTGCACGGTACTTCGCCATGTTGTGCAACCTCTTAACTCAGTCACTGTA